TCATATGACGCAATGAAGCTAAATAAAGTTTTACCAACAGTCGTCGCACAACAAAACCTGTCGTATTCACTGAGCAAACATAGGCAACGATCATCAGACCCTATAGTCTATGGTTAGATTAGCTCCTTTTTACTTAGTGATTACCGGTAGCCATTAATTATCACTTCCTTTGTTGTGTGTGCATATAAAATAATGTGTGCACTGCACTACAGTGTAGTTGTGTAGTAAAAGGTTGTTCAATCCACAATTTTCACATTTAAATCATCCAAGGGAATTTGAGAGTAGGGGTTTGCAACTCTATTTTTGATAAACAATAGGGCTAATTGAGCATAACAATGAATATAATAAAGGTGATTAACATATTATAGTACTATGCAAATTAACAAATATTTTCTGCTATTTTTTGTGGGGGACATTGTCTTGGCATTTTGGGACATTACATAATAACAATCAAAGAAAGCTTAGAAAGAACTCCCATGTGCTGAGAGTATTGGAGACACATTAAATATAATTCGAAATTACTTAGCTGAAAACTAATTATGCAAATCAGAAAATTAATATGACCAGATTTGAGTGTAAAACTAATGAGGTCTGCGCAATGTAACAGAAAATCTATGTCTCCAAGTTTAATTGAAATGTGATTAGAACCAAAAAATTATGAATTATTATGCTTATTAGGGAATTAATATGAACAGATTTTTACCCCAAACTAATTAGGTTTGTACATTGTCCTAGAGCATCTTTGTACTAAGTTTCATTGAAATGGAATAATTAGTACCGTGAAAACTCCAAAATTTCGACCCCTCTAAAAATTCGATTGGCTATTTATTTGCCGGGTTTCGGTGTTTTATTTACCTCCAAATTTTCAACTCCACTAAAAATTGCCGACTCATTCTTATTCGAAAATTGCGACCAGTTTTAGTTTTCCCCCAACGAAAAAAAAAACCGATGTGAGCGTTCAAACGGGACCTTCCTCGAAGGCATGAATCCGGGTTTCTGATTGACTGAGAGATTTTTATTTTATTGGTAACGAAAATATATTCTAAATAAACGAAGTTTGAAATAAAAACGAACACAAAAATCTCGGCATGCTGCGTTTCTGAATTGTTGATTATTACTGTACTCAGTAGTGATTATAATAATGTACACAAAATAAATTTGTTGAATGGTTATGAAATACAAATAAAAGTCAACTTAGTTTCATCGTAAGCGAATGATTCCGGTCTCGTATAAACGTTTGATGCTGTAGGATATCCGCCATGTTCTCTTAGGTCAAATAGGTCAAATCGCTAATTAACCAATCAAAAAGCTGGATGATGCCAACGTGTTCAAATTACCATAGCTTATTTAAATATGTTAATGTTATTGAACGCAATGCGGAAGAGATTGGTGTTGTAGTACGATATTTTGGCTTGGATTTTGATGCGAAAACGGCATGATTTTTTTTAAATAAAAAAATTAGTTGTTTTTAAAAAATAAACTGGTCATCTGAAGAATAATTTAACATTGTTCACAGTGATAACAGCTCATTCTCGAAAGGAAGCTTACCCGCTCACGCTAGTCACGATAAAAATCATACACGTGTACTCTTGAATAGACAAACGTCAATGACTACGGTAAAACTTAGACTCTATTTTAGCCGGCAGGATTGATTGAAATGTCCGAAAAATGACGCCAAAATACACCTTAAAAGTCCCATTTTATTTTCTTAAATCCCATTTTATTTTTTAATCCAAGGGCGAATTTACGGCAGAATTTGGTCCCTCAAATAAGGGACACGTGAGCTTTGATTCTAACCGGATACATTGCACTGGGTCGGGGAGATAGTTTGCTAAACTTCCATGCATCTTTTGTCCAATGGGTACCTGTACTTCGAACATTCGCAAGTTTTTCTAGGTAGTGCGAGACAGCTTTGTCTTTTGACCTATTTGTTTTGTGCTGACCTCTTCTCCGCGTCTTGATGTTTTGTTTTGCTTGTCATAATACTCACTGATTGATGACTTTGTTTAGATTTTGAGTTACAACTCGGCCACGACCTTTGCTTTTACCGTGAAACATGAGGAAGTTTACGTCAATTGACGGACATTGCATTTTTTTAAAAACTAATGAAGCACACTGTCTATCATCCCCATTTTTTCATTTGCTGATTTCTATTCTGAAAAATTCGACCGTCCGAAAATGCACCTTAATTTTGACTATAAAAACACGTCACATATCGAACACCAATTATTTAAAACCGGTCGAAATTTTGGAGTTTTTACGGTACTTTAGATATCAGTGTGAAAGCTTAAAATTGGTTAATTATGCAAATTAGGTAATTAATATGTACAGATTTTAACCCACAATTATTCAGGTCTGTCTATTGTCCTACAGCATCCATGTACATTCATTGATATGTGATGTATAGTACCTGAGATATCAGTGTGAAAGTTGGTTAATTATGCAAATTAGGTGATTAATATGCACAAATATTTACCGGAAACTAATTGGGTCTGCATAATTCTAGATTCATTGAAATGTGATGATTAGTACTTTAGATATCAGTAGAAAAGCTGAAAATTAATTATGCAAATTAGGTAATTAATATGCACAATTATTTACCCTAAAACTAATCAGGTCTCTGCATAGTCCTAAAGGATCTATGTACCAAGTTTCATTGAAATGCGATGATTAGTACTTGAGATACCTGTGGAAAAGCTGAAAATTAACTAATTATGCAAATTAGGTGATTAATATGCACAAATATTTATCGAAAACAATCAATCTCTGCATAGTCCTTGAGTATGTAAGTACCAAGTTTCATTGAAATGTAATGCTAACTACTTATATCAAATGCTGAAAATTAATTAATTATGCAAATTAGGTAATTAATATGTACTGATATTACCTTAAAAACTATCAGGTCTGTGCAGTGTCATATGACATCTATGTACCAAGTTTCATTGAAATGTAATGATTAGTACTTATATCAAATGCTGAAAATTAATTAATTATGCAAATTAGGTAATTAATATGTACTGATATTACCATAAAACTATCAGGTCTGTGCAGTGTCATATGACATCTATGTACCAAGTTTCATTGAAATGTGATGATTAGTACTTGAGATATCAGTGGAAAAACCGAAAATTGACTAATCATTATGCAAATTAGGTGATTAATATGCACAAATATTTATCCGAAACAATCAATCTCTGCATAGTCCTTGAGTATGTAAGTACCAAGTTTCATTGAAATGTAATGCTCACTACTTATATCAAATGCTGAAAATTAATTAATTATGCAAATTAGGTAATTAATATGTACTGATATTACCATAAAAACTATCAGGTCTGTGCAGTGTGATATGACATCTATGTACCAAGTTTCATTGAAATGTGATGATTAGTACTTATA